ATGAAAGTCCAGGAAAAGTTGCTGTAAGAAGAGAAGCTTATAACGTAACAGAAATTTAGTATACAATTGTTACATAAGATTTTTTTTGTGTAAACGAGGTTCTCGCCAGTTAGTTCAGAATTAGAGAAACTTACAACAGGTCGTTTGTAGGACCTGCTTCCAAGTTTTCCAAATTCTGGCAGCGGCAAATGTAGGGTTTATATTTATTTTAACTAACATTTATTTTAAGTTTAAACTATCTTTCCTGTCAAGCCTTACTTTCCCCTGGAACTGCCAATGCCAGAATATGTAAATTTTAGTAGAACGCGCAAGGATTCAAATTATCAGCGGAAGTATTGAGTTAAATAGAAGGAAAAAGTTCGGTGTGTGATTCTTACTTCACGAGCGCGGAGGTAGTTAGCGAGAAATTGAAGAACCCCGCGTTTCGGGCCTATGTGCTTGGCGGGAAGTAGTGTTAATCGTTCAAGTGAGCTTCAAGTCTGCTGAATTAGCAGCGGTATTGTAAAACGCGGTGAGTTAGTTATTTTAGAGAGCCTCGTAGTTAGAGTCTTGTCTTTAGTTTCTTTTCAGGTTATTATTTTTATTTGACTGCCAAGTTGGCACAGTCTGTGAGCGTCAAGAGCACGCAATTGTAATTTTTACGTTGAATAAAAAGGGACTTAAACCTTCACAAGACTCTGTGTTTTATACAGTTTTCACAGTCACCTCTTGGTTGCGTGCAAGTTGGAGGCGCGCAACGTTACAAGTGAAACAATAATGTCTTTATTTTTTAAATAGCAGATTATTTTTAAAGAGAAGAGAATACTATTATTTAGGAAAGGAATTTAAATTGCGAAATATATGGCGGAAAAGGGAAAACAATGTTTAAGATTAAAATAAGTCAGATAAATTGCATTTATTTATAAAAGAGCTTTAAACACTGTATTCGTTTTTAAATAAGCAATAATTGTAAAGATATTAAACAACGTAAAATCAGATTATAATAAACCTTCCTACCTCAATCATATAGGTGATGTTTGAACCAAAGAAAGCTTTTACTGGATTTTAGAAAATTTGTTCCGTAATATTACGGTTATCATTTTTAATTTTTAAAAATGTAAGTCTTCGTAAGTCATTTGTAAAAACGCTGCTCAGTGTCAAAAAGAAACAAAGCAGCATATTTTGTAAAATATGGAAGAGTTCTCAGGCGAAAGTGAAGAGGCTTACCTAACTAGATTGTTCTTTGAATTTAATTCAAGTTCGGATCATTCTGTTGCGAAGACTGCCATTAACACCAAACCATCGACGCGAAAGACTGCGCTAATGCCATCAAAGAGCTACTTGGGTATCTGAGAGGAACAATGTGGTATTCAGCGATGAGTCTCTGTTTCGATTCCCGGTTAGTCACCGGTTAAGAACCTGGCGGCCTCAGGGAGATAGAGCCAACTCGTCAACTATTGCTCAACAGTACACTGCTCGTCGACGTGGCATAACGGCTTGGGGTGCCATCAGTCATGATATAAGGTCCCTGTTGCTACGCATCAGAAGTACACTGATGGAGTGACGCTACTATGATGAGGTGCTATAGCTGGCTGTGCTACATTTCATTCAGCGGCTGTAAAATTATATTTTCCAAAAGGGTAACGCGACACCGCACGCGACATTCATCAGCCGACAAGCCTTACAACGTGTTCCATTGCTTCTTTGGTCTACGATATCCCGATCTTTCGTCGATCGAGTATATCTGAGACGTGAATGGGCGTCGTTTGTCTACCCCAGCCGTTATTGGAGGATGAACTAAAACTTTTTTAAATTGATCACGGCAGAAGATTTACAAACCACTTTGACATGATCCGTATCTTCAAAAGGATAACATTTCTAAACATTTGTAACTTAGATTTTGCTTGTGTTAAATTTCCACATTTGGGTCTAAGTTAATTTTGCCAAAAACACTTTATATTATTGTCATACAGTTGTTTACCAAATTTGTAAACGGAGTGAAGTTAACCGTTATTTTGACTAGCGTTTGTGGATTTGTATTGGAGAACAAAATAATGTAACTAAACAAAACAAAAAAAGGAAATGATTCTGAAATTTCTTAATTTTATTATTAAAAACAATACATTGTTTATTTTACAATGAATAAAGTAATATATAAAATGTTTTTTTTTTTAATGTAGTATATAAAGAAAAAATTATAATTTTTTGAGTAACATCTTATCATTTGTCATACATTATTTGTAACAAAATCGTAGCAAAATCCTACATATGCATAAACGTGTTTGTAGTATGACATTTTCTGAATGACACTTCTTTTATTACTTGAACTTGTACCATATGTATACAGTCATACGCATAAGAAAACCTTATGCGGTTTTTATTTTTGCAACCACTAGTTTTAGATATTACCTTAATAAAGAAAAATATATTAAAGAAGAAAATTATTAATGTTACTGCATTTTTATTGAAAAAAATCTATTTTTCATTTAGAAAATAGTATGCTGCTGCCTTGATTTTTCAGGTTGGCAGTTGATGTTATTAAAATCAAGTAATTTCTCGTGGTATGTTTCAGCTATATTTCATTGGGGATAATTTTGGAGCATCTGGAAGCCGTAAAAGAGTCTCAGATCTTTTATAAAGTTCTGGAATATGTGGTACTTTACTTTACTTATTATATGCTCCGTCGTTAGGCACTACAGGGAAAAAGAGGGATTCCCCGTGGAGGTCTTTTTAAGGGAAACTGGACCTTTTTTAAGGAAACGTTACACAAGTGGAAAAGAAACGAAATCGTCCGTGTAATCAGCCCCGGTCCGAACTACCAGTCTTCAGCGGCTTTTGCCGCTCGGCAGCTCGTGGCCCTGGAATATGTGGTAGAAGACAGTTTCCTTAGTAAAGTTTACCAGTGCTGTTCGGGTTTGTAGTATTGGTTGTAGAGTCGTACGGATTTCAATACTCAGCAATGGCTTGTCTTTGCAACAACTCTAGAACTGTTCAGGTGATCAATGCACTTTCTAAAATTTCCCACTATGTGAGATAACCGTTGGAACTCGAAAGCAAATGCGGAACTGGATGACTGATCAATCTTTCTACAGCAGTATGCACCGCAGCCATCAGTTTAGACACATAATTAGGTTTCATGAATGAGGTAAAAAATCAAGTTTCAGAATGATCGAGCTCAGTGTGAATCCAGCCGTCTCTTCCTGTTGCAATATATGTCTAACGTTCCTTAAACGACGTCGAAATTCATTCCCACGTACTGATCGTTTACCTTGAATGAATACTGTAAGAGCAAGTGCACTTAATATTGATTAAAAGTTTATCTCTATAATTGATATTTAATTTGAATAAATGTAATTGACTACTATGTTAGCTGTAACCGTAATTCTACTCTTTTTGCTTTCTAGAAATTGCTAGAACTGTCTCGCACGGCCGATTTAAAAAGCGATAAAAGCCGGAGAGAAACATCTGAGCTCAGTTGTTTTAGTGAGCTGTTGTTGTTTACGCCGATCGGATTAGCTTTCTCTGTGCTTTGCGTTCTATTTAACTTTCTTAGTAGCTACTGATTATATTACGTGATGTTGTGCTATTGTACGAATATCTCTGAGAAAGATTTCATCTTTGTTATCATCTTTGTTTTCACCTTTGTTAAAATCTAATATTGAACACATCGTCCTAATGACCCTTGAATATATTATATAATGTACATTGTGGGAAAGAAAAAGAAATGGGACAGTTTTATATCTATCATTCTCCTGGGCTGATTGATAGAGTTTCAACTTGCATTTTTCATGTCTCCCACACTTAAATTAGGATATGTATTAGATTTATATATAACATTGTTGTGATATAGGTATTTAGACACAAACTCGGACTTTTTCTGAAATGACATGTCAATAGTTTCCATATTTCGATTGCACGACTCAAATTATGCCTAAATATTAAATTTTGTAAAATTTCGTGCGACATTTGCGGAAAAATTAAAAAATTTATCTTGGTATATTTTCTTCAGTTTGCTCGAAGAATACTTCATTTGGCGAACTTCTTAATTTATAACAACCTATTTCCGTTTCCTTTTTTTCATTGCACACGAGGGAAGCAAAAGCGCAACAAAAAAAGTGCGTAAGTCACATTTGATGTTATTATCGCTTGTAAAGAATTTGCCATATTTCAAAACGCGCCAATATGTAAATCATGTATAGGAAATTTTGAATAAAAAACTCTAATTTTCTGCAGATTTGCCTAAAAATACATCTACTTTAAGATCATGTTGAAAATTTTATAGGTTATAATACAAAAAGGTTTTCAAAAAAAAATTTAAAAGATATTTAAAAAATACAAATTATAAAATAAATTATAAAAAAATGTGCGAATTTTATTTATATTAATCGTAAATTTCGATTTCTGGGAGAAATCAAGTACGTTTAATAAAAAAAGGGATATTAATAAATATATATCAAACTCAATTAACATTGAGGAGCTAAAATTTTGAGAGCTAAGTGTTTAAAAATTACTCGTGCGATTTTTACAAAACTTGACAGTTTGGCATAATTTGAGTAGTAAAGTCGAAATACGGAAAAAAATCGGTATGTCATTTCAGAAAAAAATCAGATTTTGTGTCAAAATGCCTGCATTAGAACAATGCTATATCTAAATCTAATAAATATCCTAAGTCGTGCTTTGGAGATATGAAAAACGCAAGTTGAATTTCGTCAATCGGCCCAGTTAAACAGGAGATATAGAACGGGCATCTTTTTTTTTTTTTTTTTTTTTTTTTTTTGTTATCAGGGTATATCAAAGTATCATTACGTGTGACGAAACAAAGATGTGGCTAGAAAATGAAATATAACAAGCTTGTGCCTTTCTGAATTTCAAGTTAACATTTTCGAAAAATAAGGATACTGTGCATTTTGATTAATATCTGATAGTACTTAATAACAGAAAATCTACCGTTGTACAATTTTCATTAGCAAATAATTAGAAAATGCGTTTTTTCTCAAATATTATATATGATTTTATTTCAGAGTGTTAGGACCAGTGTTTAGCGTTCCAGAGTTTGCTGAAGACTTCGGATGCCCAGAAGGTTCCAAGATGATTCGAAAAAATGATTGTCACACTTGGTAGGGATGTTCTGCCAATATCTACTCCAGAATCCGAGCAGCAAAATTATATGGGAAAAAAGACATAAACGTTTACAAGGCTTTATTTATTTATGTTACAGCTGAGACAACCTTGGTTATATGTGCATTGCTTGTAAAATTTCTAAACAGAAATGCAGTTGTGTGCAAATTTTGTTAAAACAATAATTTTTTTCAAAATAATAATAAAATGTTGAAAATTCTGTTTCAGTGATTTTTGATGTCTTATAATATAAGATCGTTTATCAGAATAGACATATTGTTTTTCATTATCGCAATAGATATCTCCTTAAGGCTGAAATAATGTATTTGCATAAAATTTATATAAAATATGTTAATTAGTTACCATAACCTTACTACACATTTGCTTGAATTACCAGATTATTTTGAAGAAGAAGAAACTTGTAGTAAATTACAGCTTTCAAAGTTCCACACCAATTCTCTTCTCTTCCAAATATCTCACAATGTCAGCTCTAATTTTGTCAATATTGAATATCCTTTTAAAAAACATTACATTATCATATAAATTGTTTTCTCACACAGAACTGTTTTCAATAATTTTAAATGTTACCAAAATAAATTACCTAACCCGTACTTAACAGCAATGTTTAAAACATGGATTTTAACAGCTGTTCATCGAATAAAGTTTTCTTTTACATTCTAAGATTTGAAGAGATTAAATAATAATGCATGCGACAAAATTATTTAATTTTAGAGAAGAACTGAGCATGTAAGATCCCCTTCTTTTAGAAATGTGTTGGATAATCAGAATTAGTTTCTACGAATTATAAAAATGTGAACATTACATACATTGATCTTTATCACATAATACGTCTCTTATGAAATGGGAACGTTTTGTCTCCAAGCGTTGCCTTCATAAAAATTAAATTCTGTTGAAACCAATGGATTTCAGAATAAAGTTGACTACAAGTACTGCTAATGTATCGCAAAAATATTACCAATTAATAACTTTAAATGACTAGCAACTTTTGAAAAATAATGAAACCTCAAGGAATACCAAAAACAGCAGAAAAAGTCCTTCATAGGGAACACAAGGAAATACCATATCGCTAGTTCATCTTCAAAATGGTAATATACGATTTTCGCCATTTACTACGCAGCTCTCATATTTTCAGGAACACAGAATCTAATGAGTTATATTACAAAAATGAAATTTGATGTTACACTTTTACAGTGCTTATAAAACATTGTCAGCTAGCAGGATCGCTAAAGCCGGACTAAAAGCTTAAAAGAGTTGGCTATAGTACGCACCTGCAATGCAAGGCTGCTAAAATCTCTAACTCTAAATCATTCCAACCACCGGCTTGCATATACAACAAGTAATCTGCATTTTTATTAAAAGTACGGAAAGAAGATTTCAAATCACAATAACTGCCTAATTAACACACATTCTTGCAGAATAAAATTTGAAATCTAGCGAGTGAACTGTCATGTAAATCGTAATTACATAAATTATAAGCAATATATTGTTAGGCAAAGTCCAGCTGCAGTAAGATAGGTTCTCCATAAATCAGGTTTAAGGTTGCCAGAAAATGGCAGGGGAAGGCAGGGTTCCCATATTTGGTACGATATCCTCCATTTGGCAGCAAAATTGGACATATGCCATAGACGAATGGAGAACATTCTAGAACGAATTCTTACTTTGACCCATAATATTCTCGAAGGCAGGCTGAAAGCTATATAAACCCTTCTGGTACGCGGAGTAGTGAGTGTCTCGTAGTATATCGAGTTGATCGTCAGTCTAGTGTCCAATGTATCGCGGGTTGGTGCACCGTTGAGGCTATCGTCTAGTGCATCGCGAGTTGTAACGTGGAGAGCCTCCAGAATGCGTTGAACTCCGGAAACAACCAAACAGAGTCGGTAGCTGTATTCTAGTGCTTTGCCGTGAAGTTTTCTTCACCTTTATAGCCTGAAAGCTGTGTTTCTGATTGTTTCAGAGTGTTTGTCATAGTTCTTCGACGACTGTAAACGTGTATTTGGAGCTGTCCTGAATAATACTAGCTAATAAATTGTGTTTTCATTCTTCATCATATGTTGTCGTTAATCATTCCAAATCGCACGAACGCGTAAGAACGCAACAATATGCATAAACACATGCTCTCCATACAATATTATGATTTCAGGGTTTACAAATGTTCAATTAATATGATTCCTTTGTAATTAACATATCAGATGATGATGCTTTTATTCAGATACTTTGCCTCACATGCTAATGGCTTTCATAAAGGAAACACATTTATTTAAAAGTAACTGCCAAGATTTACTGAAATACGTATTATGTGGAAATGATTAATGATAAATGCTAAGTATTTTGTCCAATAATACGGTGCAAATCTTTGGAAGAGCTCTGACCGGAAATATGAGTTAAATGGAAAAATATAAAGAAATTATATCCATTAGCATATTATCCGTTTAACTCTTTCGCATCGAAGTCTCCGGAAACGACCGACCATTCAGACATCGGCAGGTCGTCCCGAATGACCGAATCATTTCCTATCTAACGCTTTCCCTCCATCACATTAGAGCGTTGCTCATTACTATCGGGAGCTGTTAAATGACATGCCAATCCTTCCTTTGAAGCAACTGAAAGTAATTCTGTTATTTTAATGCACCTTCTTTTTCGTTTGTTTACTTTCAATGTTTTGCCATTGATGCCCGGTGCTGCAATCCAGTCCCAAAGGAAAACTGCGCACAGTTTTGAAAGGTTTCAAAAAAGAAGTTGTCGGTTCACTTAAGTAGCTTATTGGTGTAAATAAGATGGACGCCACTTGGGTGGGAGTGAGAATGAGAGTAAGATTATTGGCGCAAAACCAAAAACGATTATAATGGGCCAAACACAAGGTAGATGGAATCAGGAATAAATGAGATGATGCTCTGAAATTGCTTACCAAATCCAGAGGATGAAGTCATATAAAAACAAGGTAAAACACACATTAAAATACAATACACAATCTTCAAAACAGGTTACATTAGATAATAAAAGCCAGTTACTTTTAAATAATAAAATAAATTACAACTGACCTATCTTCCGATTAAACAGTCGAGAGGTAAGTCACAGCTATGAAAATATTTTTGACGAAGATTATTAAAAGTTGGACACTCAGTGAAAATATGACGGACAGATACACAAAACATTGCAATTTAAAAATAAATAGGCTCATTTTCAGCTTTCAGAAGATAGTTATGTGTCACTCTAGTGTGACCAATCTTGAGGCAAGCCACTAGAACTTCCTCCTTTCGATTTCTATTAAAATCCCAACGCTCAATTCTTGGCTTTACACTTCTCAATTTGTTGTCAACTTGAACGTCCTAAAGTTGCTGCCATTCTTTTCGGATCTTTTGATAACATAACAGATATCTCTGAAAGGGATGAGACGATTGAACAGCAGATTTCGCTGTGACATCAGCCAGTTCATTTCCCTTTATTCCTACATGTCCGGGAACCCAGCAAAACAGGATTTCACATCCACGACTAGTTAAGTTTATATGCATCTTCAGAACATCCACTATTACAGCATTCTGAGTGTCAGAAAAGCTTCTAACGCTTTCAGCGCACTATACGAGTTTGTATACAGTAGGAAGTTCTTGTGACAGAGCATCATCAAAATTGCTGTGGCACATCTCAAAAGATGTACAAAAGACCATAATATATTGCAGTTAGTTCAGATGTTAAGACTGAGAAAGCGTTGTGCAAATGTCTGCCCTCTTTGTGATCTTCAATTTCAAATGCCATCCCAACATGAACATTTGACTTGTATCCATCTGTATATACTGACGATAACTGTTATATTTATGCCTGTGCTCAGCAAAAAGTTGCCTGTAAACGATGTCGTTAGTGCTTTCCTTCACATGATGGTTGAGAACATTAAGAAGCTCTATCCGTGCATTTTCCCAAGGTGGAATTTCAAAATTCTGTGCTGCTTGGGGGCATATATCAGAGAGGGAGAGTTTCTCAATGACAGAGCGAACTCTTAAAGGAAAGGTAGGCATACAGGATGGAATTCTTTTAAATAAAGTGTTACACGCATTATCAGGTAAGCACAACTTATTAGGGTGTTCAGGTTGCGATAAAATATTAAAATACTGCAAAAGGGACAACTGCTCACGCCTCAAATAAAGTTATGGTTCGTTAGAGTCAACATACAAGTTCTGGACAGGAGAAGTCCTGAAAGCTCCAGAACAGATCCGCAGAGCTTGATGGTGAACAGGATCCAGTTTTTAACAAACTGATGACCGAGCGGATCCGTAAACAACTGAAGCCATAGTCCAGTCTAGAGCGGAACAAGCGCTCTGTAAATGCGAAGCATACAGCAACGCTCTGCACTCCAGGAGGTATTCGCCAAGACTTTTAAAATATTTATTGTTTTAAACACTTTTTCAGGTTTAAAACATGAGAAAGGAAAGTCAATTTTCGGTCGAACGTCACTCCTAAAAATTTTACTTCAGGTGTAACTGGAATAATTATTCATTCAGATATGACTCAGGCTCAGGATGGAGAACTCGCTTCCTACAAAAGTGCTTGCACAAAGTTTTCTGTTTCGAAATAGAAAATCCCTGTTTATTCGAGCATTCTTGGATTCTATTCAGAGCCATCTGCAATTGCCCCTCTACGTATCTCATGTCTTCCCCTCGACAGCTAATCTGCACATCAATATATAGAGATCCCAAGATGGTGGGAAGAAATTCTTTTAATGCTGAGTATATTTTTAAGCTGAACACGGTTACACTAAGCACACATCCTTGAGGCACATACTCTTCCTGTTCAAAAATATCCAACAAAACAGAGCCAATCCTTACTTGAAAAGTTCTAGGGTTCAAGAAATTCTGAATGAAAATTGGCAGGTTGCCGAGCAAGCCACTATCAGGAAGATCCCGAAGCATACTGTATCTCCATGCCTTATCATAAGCTTTCTCAATGTCAAAGACTGCTGAGACAAGGTGACTTCTTCTTACAAAAGCTTTTCGAATGGATGTCTCTAAAAGGAGCATGTTATCTACGATTATTCTCCCTTTTCGAAAACCGCTTTGATAAGGCGATATAAAATTATTTATTTTTTTCCAAGTAGACTAGGCGGCTGTTTACCATTTTTTCAAACA